TAATTCCTATGGGTTGCATGGATAGTTTTCCAGGTAAAAAACATTTACATCATATTTTAAGGCAAAATAACGACAAAAATTAGGCTGAGAAGCTTGAAAACTGCATCTTTACGTAATTTGAGGCATACAATTATATATTATAGCCCAACACAAACGGAGCTTATATAGAGAATGAAATATTTCTCCAACAGGAGGCAAAGTTACCTTATTAACGATGAACTCTGCTGGACGTTTCCATGTGTGCACCTTAAGAGGGGGGGGCAAAGGAAGCTTTCCCTCTGGATCTTTAAAAACTGACTAAAAATGCGACATTTTACACAGCGTATATCAAAATCTTTTCTTATTCTTAAAAATAGCAATACCAAAGTTCAACCAGCAATTACTTGTTCAAACTTTTTCAGCATTAAAAATATGGAAATTAAATTCCTACTTTTGTAGACAACTCAGGAACCCTACCCACTACTTACATGGATGCGATTCTTGCTCGACTTTCTGTCCTCCAGTCCTATAGAGTCCAACTCCTTGCTGACTTCGGTATCATTCCACTCTGGCCAGATATGAGATCCTCTTTTCCCGACATCCCCGAGACTGTCGGAGGACTTAACGGCCCTGAAACACCGAGATATCCGACTCATCTCCTCGCAAACGTTAAAGTGCAAAGCAAACGTTAAAGTGCAACGCAAACGTTAAAGTGCAACCCTCGCAATTAACGTTAATTAACGTTAATTGCAATTTAAAGTGCAACCCTCGCAATTAACGTTAATTAACGTTAATTAACGTTAATTGCGAGGGTTGCACTTTAAATTGCAATTAACGTTAATTAACGTTAATTGCGAGGGTTGCACTTTAAATTGCAACTAACGTTAATTAACGTTAATTGCGAGGGTTGCACTTTAACGTTTGCGTTAAAACTCCTCGCAAACGTCATGTTAATTGCGATTAAAACCATGTTAATTGCGAGGGTTAACTCATACTCACTCATTCTGGCGGTCAGTTGAAAATGATTTGCTGGACGAATGCTCCGTTTTCCTTAATTGCGATTTAGACATTGTATTTATTATTAAATAAAAGAGAAAAGAAAAGTAACTCGCTGCCTCCTCGCTGAAGTTTGGCAGTTGCTAAGCAACCTGTATCAAAGGTGGGCGGGGTCTAGAATAGGAGCGTTTCCTGTTTATTTTAGCCGATTTGAAGTCTTAAAACTACGGAAGAGGATTAGGGCCACTGGAAAAAAAAACTTAATTAATTTTTACATTTGATTTCAGTTTAATATGGGAAAATTCTGCTATTAAAGTCAGAGTTCTGAGATTAAAGTCAGAATTCTGAGATTAAAGTCAGAGTTCTTAAAAAAAAAAAAAAAGTCAGAATTCTGAAATAAAAGTCAGAGTACTGAGAAAAAAGTCAAAATGCTGAGATTAAAGTCAGTGTAGAGGCAATTACGCATTTTTTGTCTTGTCTTTAATGTCAGGGTGCATGTGTTAGAGGTATGTATGGGCATGTGTGGATAGAGTTCCCGCAAGATCCAAAGACAGAGAAGAGGAGAGAGTTCTAATTAATTGCATATAAAGAAGAGCCTTCTGTTAAGAAAGTTATGGAGAAGAAGTACCACACCGTCAGTGGCAGCAAGTGTGAAATCAAAATCTCCCAACCCAAATAGGTCTACATGCAGCAGCAGTTCGACACGCTGAATCCAAGGAGGAAACGTAAAGCTTTACTGCAGTTAGGGATGTTTATTGTACCCTTTTTCTGTGACGCATTGTACAATAGGTAGACTTGCATACTTATTTAACTTTAAACTTGCGGTCAACAAAAATATTTGCCACTGCCTTAGCCTCTCTCTGAATCAAACAAACAAAACAGCCCCAGAGCAGATTCAGTTGATATTCATTAGACAATCATTCTGCTCCAGACAGATGCCAACACCCACTTACAGCTCCACCACACATGCCCATACATACCTGTAACACATGCACCCTGACCTTAGAGACAAGACAAAAAATGCATCCTTGCCTCTACAGTCAGAATTCTGAGATTAAAGCCAGAATTCTGATATTAATGTCAGAATTCAGAGTTTTTCCCCTCATATTAAACTGAAATAAACTTTAAAAATCAGTTAACTTTTTAATTTTTTCAGTGGCCCTATTCCTCTTCTACATAAAACTGAACTGCTGATATCAACCCATAACATTGTCATAGACACCTTTGTGGCTGTTTTACATATTAACTGACCAAAAATGGAAAAGGTCTGCTTGTCTGCCCCATTCAGTACAATAAAAGCCTCCATCAATCTTTGTTTAATTTCCAGGCCTTTTGCCTGACTTAGACAACTTTATACATACAACAACTTATAAATTATTCCATCTTTTGATGAGATGTACACCTAATGTATTTTTTGTGAAAATGTGTTTGTTGTAATCTGCCCACGTTAGATTAGCATGCAGCTCTCTACATCTGTTTCTCTTGAAGTTAAAAGAAAGAGTATTTGCTCACAGCATCTTTTGAGTTTTTAATAAAAAATATTTATTGAAACTTGTGATGTGAGGCACAACAAAATAATAGCATTCTAGGTAATAGTTAGCTCATTAAATGCTTTGTTTTTACCTTTCCTAAAGACTTTGTGGAGCCTCTAATATCTAATAGACTCTGCCCCTCACATTATTGTTGAGTAAAAGAAGACAACAACAATCTGTTAAAATGTTTATTCTATTTGGTTTGGAATATTTTAAAGTATTTCCACCTGTAAACATGTTAAAAAACAATATTTACATTTTACAACAGCTCTAAAGACTGCAAAATACAAAAACCTGTAGACCTCAGTCTGAGTGTGGTTTCATTGCATTAACGACTATTCAATGCTTGACACATAACATTTGAAAAGGAATTTACATAACCATACCAACAAAAACAAAATCATACAGAGGTCTGTAAATGGTTCTGTAATAATGTAGTACCATCATTATATATATATATATTTTTTTTTGTTTTTAGTGAAATACTGTTATTTTTCTGCAGTGTAATATTGACTGAACTACAAAAAACAATAACAATCCTAACTCCTTTAGTAAAATAATAAAAATGTTATAGCACAATAGTTAAGAAGAGCATATACAGCAATCCAAGTTAAGAAAAGGTGTTACAGAATGTCTTGCTAAAACATAATAATGACAACACTAAGTGGAATTCATTCTGTGAGAAATAAAATGTGATGTCCATCTACAGGCACTTAATAAAAGCTACAGCATAATTAAAAATGGTTCTTTTTTTTTTAAATGGTAGCTTAGACAACAAAACACACATGGGGTGATATTGATTGATACAATAAAGTGACAATCACAAGGACAACAATTCTTTTCAAGTTTGCACTTCTGAACTTTCTGTAGCGAGTGCACCACAAACCCCCCATTTCATATTCGATATTAGTCCAAGAATGAAGAGGTTGTCAGGGCAACAGTTGGAAAATCCACTGTACATATTGTAAGCATTTTCTAGAGGAAAAAGAAAAAAAAACATCCCCTTAAATGCACTTAAAAATCTAGAGGCAATATCAAAAACAAAACTGACTAATGAAACCTTGGATGCACAAGTCAAACGGGTATCAGTGCAGGGAAAAGTTCCTGAAGGTTTGAAGAGACAAAAGCAAAAAAAAAATATGAATCTTTGTCTCTGGTTGCATCAGGGAGCTGGAGGCACAGGCTGGATGAACTCACTGGACCCCACCAAAGGGATGTGGATGGCTAATGCGAGTGGATTGAATGTTAGCAGCAGCCTGACTTGCTCTCAGCAGCTATAGTCTCCTGGTCCAGTTTGATGCGGTCTCCGTTGCTCTCCTCATATGGCAATCCTTTATCATTCGCCAGGATGTTCTCTACCAGGAAACGAGCTGCTTCATCCACATTAATGTTGTCCTAAAAACACATGAAAATGGTTTTGTCAGATGGCGATTACATGAAATGATGCCAGTGCAACAAGACATAACAGTTTTAAATTACATTTACCTTTAAATAAACGTATACAAACAATGGAAACTTTTTTTTATCAATGCTTTTGTCTTTTATTCATGACATAACATATTCTGTTTGACAAAAAGAGATCAAATATTGACTACAATTCAAAATTCACCACAAAAGATTTAAGACATTGGGTTACTGTAGTCCCCACCACAAGTCTCTACTCTATTTCACTTACAGACTATTTACTATTTTAATACATCCTTTATTATTTTTCAACCAGTATATGAGGATTTCAAAGAGATATCTTAGAAGCTAACTATTTGAAGTTTGTAAATTAAAAATATCCTATGTTTACATACCATTTTACTGCTGTAACTACCATAGTAACTGTTGGCCAGGTTTCCCCTTCAACATTTTAAATGCAGGGGCACAAGCAAGAAATGAAAACACACATTTTATCTGTCTATTGCTTTTCTAAATCAGCGCTGAATGAGTAGCTCATGGCTACCCACAACTTTTTTTCTATTTTTTTTCTATTGTAATTAAATATTCTATTAACCTGTTTAGTAAGTTAAATTATTTGGTGTCATTAAATACACCCAAAAAGAAAACAACAAACACATTGCAGGGACAGACAGCTCAAAGAGCTAATGTATATCTCCCACTCATAGAATTTAAGCTTAAAACTAAAGTTAAATTAAGATACGAATGTGAGAAATACCAAAAGAAAAAAGACAAAACACAGACAAGTTATCAATACTAATATATATATAATTGCTATAGAAACAATAAAATACATAAATTAGATGCCATTCAGTGCACTTATTTTGTTTGGTCAATAAAAAAAAGAAATGCATCTATATAAGTCACTCATACAAACAGTTACCAGATTGGTGATCTGACAATCTTTTAAACATCTTCTTTTTACATTCAATTCATATTTTCTAGCCACATGGAAAACCTATTTAACAGAGTAGCTGCTTTATATATTAACATTTATTCTTTAGTACTATTTTTATGTATAGTTAAATTCTTACAAAAATGTAGTTCAACAACATATTACAGAACCACCCCCGTTTGGAGCAGATTACTCTTAAAAAAAACTAAGAAATCTGGTGGTTTTTGTACAGACAAAATGACAACATGGCAAAGAGCTTATTTTGTCACAATCTAAAAGATACACAAACACATCTAAAAAAAAACAAAAAACAAAACTTTTTTAATGTTATATATTAAATATATATTTGCTCACAAGGTTTATTAAACTGACCAACATATGAATGCTAATGTATCATAAGTAGATGTGAGCAGCATGTTAAATATTTTGTGACAAATAGTTTGTTTACTAGATCAAAATTTAAAAAGATGCGGATAAATGTTTAGCTGTGGGTACAAGATGGGAGTTTTGGATGTAGAATGGGGGTACTGACCTGGAGCCTTTAGATACAGATTTGACTGGTTAAATGGTTATTTAAATGGAGCCTAGGTGGAAGTTCAACTGAATAAACTGATTACTCGCCTTCATCCGCCTCCGACACCAGCTAATCAGCTTTGAACCACAATCCACAAAAGCCCAATCAGCATCCAGAGTTCATCTTAAAAGGTCTCCAATCCACAACTCCATCTGCTACCCAAAGCGCAGGCAGTGGTCGTGCTATGTCAGACTTCGATTCAGATGACCTTGTTTTAACCCACCTCCATCCTCTTCTCCACCATCGTAGCCTAAGCTTCATCAGAGTGTCATTTCTCCTGGACTCTTACTGCGTTCCCTGTCTCATTTCAACAGGTCCGGCAGAAGACCGCCATGTTGAGCCTGGTTCTGCCAAAGGTTTCTTCCCAATGGGGAGTTTTTCCTCTCCACTGTCGCTTCATGCTTGCTCATCGTGGATAGGTTCTCTCAACCTGTGTTATCCAAGCGGGACTTCCATCTTCCAGGTCCCTGAGTGAAGCTCTAGTATCAGCTCACACAGCCCACAGGATCACTCCATACAGTTTAAGCATACCTTCTCGCCAACCAGCAGACATGGAATGACCGACTTCGTCTATCTGCGTGAACTGACAGTCGTCAGTTCACGCAGTCGTCCTCCAGTCGCAGTCGTCCCCCCCCCCCCCGTTCTTTACTCCTGTTCATGCATATCTAACAAAATTC